AACGAATAGCCGAGGCACGAAACACTGAAAACATCCTGAGACTCGATTACTTGCAATTTATTGAAATTATTCAGAAAATAAATAGATCCCTTCATAAACCGTCTACATATAAAAAGAACGAATAAATCTTCTACAATAAATAAGCATCACTTATTGACGCGTTTAAATTAAAAATAAAATTCTATCGAGTTCTTTGAAACGTTTCAATGACAAACAATTAAACAATTAATTAAGCTAATAATAATTTACTCGAGAAATTCAAGAAGATCTCAGAAAAATACACGAACATAGAAAGCATCGGACAGTAAACGTGATTGCTGATGGTTGCAAAAATCGCCAGCAAACACTCTAAAATCCTCCTAAAAAGTTCTCCTTCATTTTCCAAAAAGCTCGCGACCTCCGAAATCTCAGAATCGAGAACAAAGATTCCGCCGAATCGTATAAAACAATCGTTCGAATTTGTCGGCAGGTTCGGGCGGAGTTCTCGCGTCGCTTGGAATTGCAGAACGTTGAAAGACAAATACCGGGCGATGCTGAAGAACTCTGTAACTTCGCGCCCCAAGTTTTAGCACTCGGTATCGGCTTTCCCGGCGCGGGGAATCGTTAAAGCGAATTGGAAATTCAGCGCGGTCGAACGCAATGGCCGTGCACGGCGAATCTTTATTTGAACTTTCGTGGCACGTGGACAATTCGGGGACGGTCCGAGGCCATTAAACAAGCGTTACTCGGCGATCCACGGGCTTTACGATCCTCGAAATCGCGGGACGATTCTCGCGTAGCCGTGGAAAGTGAGAGAGAGAGAGAGAGAGAGAGAGAGAGAGAGAGAGAGANAGCCGAGGCACGAAACACTGAAAACATCCTGAGACTCGATTACTTGCAATTTATTGAAATTATTCAGAAAATAAATAGATCCCTTCATAAACCGTCTACATATAAAAAGAACGAATAAATCTTCTACAATAAATAAGCATCACTTATTGACGCGTTTAAATTAAAAATAAAATTCTATCGAGTTCTTTGAAACGTTTCAATGACAAACAATTAAACAATTAATTAAGCTAATAATAATTTACTCGAGAAATTCAAGAAGATCTCAGAAAAATACACGAACATAGAAAGCATCGGACAGTAAACGTGATTGCTGATGGTTGCAAAAATCGCCAGCAAACACTCTAAAATCCTCCTAAAAAGTTCTCCTTCATTTTCCAAAAAGCTCGCGACCTCCGAAATCTCAGAATCGAGAACAAAGATTCCGCCGAATCGTATAAAACAATCGTTCGAATTTGTCGGCAGGTTCGGGCGGAGTTCTCGCGTCGCTTGGAATTGCAGAACGTTGAAAGACAAATACCGGGCGATGCTGAAGAACTCTGTAACTTCGCGCCCCAAGTTTTAGCACTCGGTATCGGCTTTCCCGGCGCGGGGAATCGTTAAAGCGAATTGGAAATTCAGCGCGGTCGAACGCAATGGCCGTGCACGGCGAATCTTTATTTGAACTTTCGTGGCACGTGGACAATTCGGGGACGGTCCGAGGCCATTAAACAAGCGTTACTCGGCGATCCACGGGCTTTACGATCCTCGAAATCGCGGGACGATTCTCGCGTAGCCGTGGAAAGTGAGAGAGAGAGAGAGAGAGAGAGAGAGAGAGAGAGAGAGAGAGGGGGGGGGGAGAGAAAGGGACACCTAGGGACACCAAGAGAGGATCACGAAATTTCTTGTAATTACGACCCCGATCAGGCGATCGAGAACACGAAGGGATGGTCGGCCGCCGTTCCTCGATCGCCGATAAAAAGCTGTCCGAACGGCCCGAATTATAGAGGCGATGAATCACCGGTAAATTCCACGGAATCGAGTGAATAAAACGCCTCCGACGTCTTTTTGTTCTTGCTCGAGGAAGGAAGAAATTTCCCTGATTTCGCGACTGCCGTGCAATTTCCATGCAATTGGCGGAACCGACATTCCTTCGGACGTCTTCTTTAATCCCTATCGCTATGGCATGCCGCGCAGTGCTACGAAACTACAGCGTGATCGTCACTAGCAACAAACGTTTATTAAACGATATAAGATTTTAGACAGTTTTTATAAATGTGTCTTAAAATTTCTTTTAAAAATTGCATTCGATTTGGACTCTTAATTATAACATATAATATAAAAGTCGCTTTTAAATCGGTAAAAAAAATCCACGAATTTACTAAAAATGAAATACATGGATATTAAATAAATAATTTCCATTTGATATCCTTAGACTGCGAATTTTATGCATGTAAGGCAAGATTGAGCAGTTTCAATATAAAATAATAGAGAGATTAAAAGAATTCGAAAATATCATTACATTATTTTCGATCTAGAAAACTTATTAAAAGAAGAATGAATGTCATTTCTACTTCTTGATGTAGACAATTTTTATTCTGCACACAAATTTGCGGTCTAGTTATCATTGTTTTGTTAAAAGATGAAGATTAATAGAAGTATTATATTGAAAAGACTCGAAGAAACGGAATAGCATTCATGTTAAAAAATGATCGAAGCAGCCGCGCGTCGAACGCAATATTGATTCAATTATCGAATAAAAATGGCCGGCTCGTTTGTCTTCCGCCTCGAAGGACCAATCGTTTTCAATCTTGGACCGCGTGGGATTAAAAAGCGACCGGTCCCCAACGATCCATCGCTTCCGGTGACATTTTTCTTGTTCATTGGTCGCTCGGTCCCTTATCTATCCCTTTGGCGAGCCAGCGACGCCCATTCGCCGGCAATGACAAGAAATTTCGCGATGGCGTCGTCCCGGCACGACAGCCGCATGCAAATTACAAGGAAGCCACCGCGCCGGTCGTGGCACGGTATGTTAAAAAGGACCGGTTTCGGTGCGCGACCGTTTGACGAAATTAATCAATGGGGGATGGGGCCGCGGTGGGGCGTGCACTACCGCAGTCATAAATCAGCTCGTAACTGCGAGCACGATTTTATACCCCTTGTTCTCTTTATCTCCGAGAAAAAAAATTTAAGATCGCGAGAGAACATCGCCCGAAATTGTCAACAATTATACGAGAGCGTCAAAGACGACATCAAAGCGACGGCTACTCGAATTCAACGAAATATTCGAATCCGGTCTCGCGTGGAATATGTCAAAGTAATTATTTATCGTCGTTTCTGCCTTAAAAATTGATATCGAAGAATTATTTTTGCTTCGGTTGTTGGCATATTTTCATTGTTTTCACATTGAATGCGATTGAATAATTATTGCCATTTTAGACATGATTTATTATTGCAGATAAAGATATTCATTTTTACTGTCAATTGATTTGCTCGTCGTAAAATTAGTCTGTACCGAATGTTTAAATCAAATCAAATTTTGTGCAAGCATCGAGAAAAGATGTTAGTTATGGTTGCTCCTAATAATTGTAAATCTTACGAGCTAAAGTATTTTAGAAGAGAATTAGAAAAGAATACTTGTAATTAATAATCTTCTCCTTTCTGTAAAATATTAGTACAAATATTACAATTCATTTAAACTTATCGATTACAAAATTTATCTATCCTTTGCAACGAAATGTGAATTTCAGATAAAATACATAAAAGATTTTATCATATAAAAGATATTATCGTATAAAAGTATTTTCCTTTCTCTTTCTGTTAATTTCGTTTTCAGGAAATTCTGAACGACGACGAAGTTTCGATCACGATAGCTGCAGAAAAACGACAAGGCAAGGGAGTCGAGGATATTTCTTAAAAACAAACGGCTTTATCGTTTCCTGCAAGTTCAATCGAGAACACATTGTTCGAGGCAAACGGTTATTATTTCCTGGGAACGACTATCGGGAGTGGAATCTGCTGCGAAAGTCAGGAGTGTCGGGACAGGTGTCCGCGTCAGGTGATCCCGGGCAAAGTGCGCGGAAAGAAACGAAGTAGCTGAATTTATATAAACAGCCCGGGGAAATAAAGCTGATGAGCTCCGTTGCTCTCCCGCCATTTCAAATGCAATCAGCGCGGAAACCCGTTGAATCCCGAAATGAAACAGTCCGCGATCTCTTTCCCACGTGTATCAACTCGCCGCGAAGCTGCTGCGAGCTTCTTCGCTCGGCATCTGCTTAATAATTATAGTTGCGGCGGTCATATTTTTTCGCGATACTCTAAAGAAGTTGCGAGCACTGTGAATACAGAAGCTCGTGTACTTTAGGATGCCCTGGAAAAATGTTAATCCTATTTTTATCGAGTTCGAGCGCTGTGCTTGAAAAAGGAATATGACGGACTCGAATAATTTGAATTCTTAACTTATGTTCCTTTCTTAATTTCGGGATTACAGATTCTTAGCAAATCTGCACGGTTATTTCCGTAAATTTCTGTTTGAAAGTTGGCCAAAATGCATTAACCAGATTTGATATTTTTTACTCAGCTACAAATAATGTACTCTCTTGGTTAAATCACTATATCTTACCTCTGACTGTCATCAGTTATTATTATCATTAGCAAACAGTGAATTAGTATGTAAACTCATGGTTTGATAAAAATATTTAAAAACGTTCAACGTAAATATGAATATTCTTCATCCAGTTATCATTTTTAGTTTACTTCGATTATTTTGTATATCAATTTTAAACGTGCTTTTACTATACTACTAAGAAAACAAAGCGTTACTTGTCGACACCGATTGTCCCTAATCAATCTAAAATGGTCGATAACGGTTATTCTATCCTAATCGTTGCGTTCTTTAAAATTGAACGATGACTACCGTTTGTGCACAAAAAAAAATCAATTATCTATCAACGATTTTTTCCCTATCGATTTTTCGACACAACCGTTATTTTTGGTCACCGATTCAATCCACATACATCATTGTATCAGCTTGATCATACATTTCGCACCGTTTTGGACGAAGTGAAACAAGTTATCCATACGTGTTTCGATGAGATCGTTCGAAAGCGGGATCATTCGGTGACCCGAAACGGAACGAACTTCCCGCGGTAATCGTTTCGCGGAGAAATCTAATTGTTGGCGGGTGTTTATAGGTCTCGATAGAAAAGGCACTTGGAAGCGATTTCTGCTGAACAAAGGGTCGGGGGGCAGCGGCGGCACCCCGCAGCACACCTCGGGCACGTCCACCGACACGGAACTGACGACCTTAGACTCGCACGAACTTTGGCTACCGGAAAGCGAGCTGCCGCCGTCGGCGATGTCCGCTCTTCACGCTTTCGGCGCCGAGATGCTGAAGCTGTCGAGAGGTCTCGAGGGCATCGGGAGTCCCGGGAGCCCCACGCCTCTCGGAACCCCAAGGTCCACCCCCCAGCACTCCGTGCAGCATCATCAGCAGCAGCATCAGTTGCACCGGTGCAGCTACCGCCACGGGTAAGGGTTTCAGCCATGATTGTGTGGTAATCGAATGATTCCCGGATGCGGGAACTTCTGCCGAGGAGGCGCGACGATCCACCTCGGCTTGATTGTTTCTTAGAAAACTGGGTGTCTGCCAATAGTGGCCATGTTTCGAGCAATTTTCGATACGTTGTCGATTTGTCTGGTGAGACGAGTTCGCGGCTTTCTTCCAATTGAAGCTGATCGGAGGATAACATTCGGGAAATTATTTAGTGTTTGTATTCCTGGCGCTGTACCACCGAAATGAAGAACGAGTTGATGGGAATCGGAAGAAGATGATCTGTGATAAGAAGAAACATCTTCTAATAAGTTTAAACTTTCTGTGCATTGCGAGAAAGTTTATTCTTATATCGTTGTATAGCGTTGCAGCGAAGCGGGTCTTTTAACAGAGTTATTATTCTTGTCTAGAATTTGATTAAAAGTCTATTTTCAAAGTAAGAATAGACGAGAGTAGGCGAACAGTGAATTGAAGAATATTTGGTAGGGGGCCTGAAGCAAACGTGACGGATATCATGCATAAAAAAGGATCTTTATAATATGTTCGAAATCAGCTGAAATATTTTACTGAAATAACAGCAATGTTTAGAACCAGACTGCGGATTTGTATGCTAAATAAAAATGTTCTGCCACTGATGTGAAAGACAAAAGTCACTCGAGAATGTCTTTCTCTTTTAAATAATTTTATTAGTTCAGAAATGATATATTCATATTGTTTAATTTTCTTGCAATCACTTTCTATTGTATGAAATTGCATCTAATTATTTTTGTCACAAATGCGTAAAATCCGCAGTTTATTAATAACATTCACTCTAACAGCTCCGAATATAGGGTAACAACTGAAACAATTGGATTTTTTAATTACAAACATATCTGCCCAAAAGATATGACTGCTACTTGTGTTACCTGCATAATTCTCGAAAATAAAGAATGTGATAAAAAGAAATCTTAATCATCTGACTTTTCGTAACGGTTAAATGCAAGACATTGAACGAAACAAACGAATTTACAATTATCTTGAAAACTGTGGGGCACTTAATTGTCGATTAAAAATGAAATGAACCACGGAACGAACCCCTTCTATTTTCCAGTGTAGGTAACGGGGTTGTGGCGACCCAAAATAAGGACCTTACAATAAAAATATTGATCATTATTTCTAAAATGTAAAAAAGACGAACCAAAAATTCGACACAAAAAAAGTTTCTTCAAAAAGTGCAGCATGTTTTAGTATTTACGTGCACGTTCGTAGACAAATTAAAAATTTGATGAGACCGTTCTAGGGTCGATCAAAGTGCAAAACAGATCGCGCAGAGTTCCATTTGAAACGACTCAAAGTGTAGTTCCGAAAAATCAGAAGAGCGAGAATCGCCCGGCAGAAATTTATTTCGACCTTTATCACACGGTGCGCAAACACCGGTCGAAAATACGCGTGTTCCCAAAGAGTATGGAATTCATGCCGACAGAAATGTTCCCCGCGCGCAGCCCGATTTCATGCGATCTCGGAGCGGACATTTATGTATGAAAAATGTCGGAAGTTCGGGAAGAAAGTTTCCGGCGGGAAGCGCGGCATGCTTATTGAAGAAACTTCTGTTTTATGCAGCCGGCGTTCGAGCCCGTTCCTCGGGAAACAACGATTCGTTCCGCGATTCGCTTTCACTTCGGGATAAAGACACTCCTCTCGATCCAGTGGATCGGATTCCGGTCGGCGATCGGGATCGAGAGGAGCCGGGACCCGCGCGAGCTTGCCGCGACGTTTCAATAGACCGGCTCCAACTCCCGAGGAGAATACGGAAAGGACGGCGATGTTCCATTTCAACGGAAACACGGGGGTTACGGGCTGAAAAATAAAATATAGGACGGCGGCAGTCGTGAAAGAAATCCAACCGACGGGATCAGGGATCGCATGTCGATCCCTGCTTCGCGCGAGAAACACCTGTCACACGAGATTACATCCACCGAGGTGATATTTCTGACTCTGTCGCGATTTGCGGACGCGCTCGAGATAGCAATGGGACTCGTATCGCAACAGCATTTCGCGAACTGGAGCTGCGCGTTTTGTACCGGTCGGAAATGTGTTCTTATTTAATTAATTGTTTAGCATCGACGGGCAAAATGCCTTTTCAATTTCAAAATTCGACATAATAGCAATAATAACAATAATATTATAATAATTTTGCGCTATATACGATTTTGAGAGATTAAATATTTGACTGCAACAACAATAAGTTCAGTTTCGAAATTACATAGTAATTATATCAATCTCGGCGCCACATTAATTATCAGAGAATATTTCTTTCGAGATTTTACGATTCGTAGCTATTTTTCAGAAGATTGGTAACTCGCTCTGTGATTGTATTAACAAAATGTATCAATCTACGAATAAATTGTTTAACATTTCGTTTGAGAGAAGCCCGGAACTCTAAGAACACTCTACCGTCAAGGTTGCAATATCCATAAAAACCAATAGTAAACTTGACAAACTATGATGCTATATTCAAGGGTGCACTTAGCTTTATGACTACGAGGGAGAATGAGAAGCTTTTTAAACCCACCAGCTACGAGAAAATATACAAATTCGTGTTACAAATTCACATTTTCACACGTTATCGCGAGCATTATTTTTACGTGTTTAAACTTTTGCTTCGAACGATTTAATCACAATAAAAAGAATTTTTATTTCGCGCAAAGAAGATCCACAGCCCATTTATAAAAGACTGGTTTCACGTAATTAAACGTTTGCAATTTCATGGAACGAAGTGTTCCGCGGTTTCATGCAATTAAGTGCTCGCAGCTTTCTGCAACCGCAGCACGTTACAAATAATTCCAGGCGAAAAATCGCTTGATCAGCTCGCTCGAATACGTTTCGCCCGGGGGTTGCATTTTTCCGCCGTGAGATCCTTTCGCTCAAAAACACGCAACGAACGCCTGCCGAAGTACCCATCGCTACCCGGATGTCCCTTCGGAGTATACGCCGCGAGGAAGGAGTCTCGTGTCACGACAGATTTATGACGTTCGTAGAATATTCCCCGTTCTCCGCCTGCCCCCCGCGGCCCCCCGGCCATCGGCGTGGCGTCACGTGCCGGCTGAAAATTGGCTTCGGAGCGCCGATATCTCGGATCGAAACCTGTTTTATTGGCTGGCCCGCGAAACATTCGCGAGTCGGGGCTGACAACTTCCGACGGGATGTCCCGGCATCGAAATTGGGACGCTACTTCCGCCATGTTGATTAAGGTTTTATCTGCGCGTCGTAAAAATCGGCCTGTACGCGTGACGGCCCGATAGTTCGACGGCTATTCGCCGCACGGAAATTGGAATTATTTATGAGTCATCGACGATTGATGCATCGAAGCCTGCGGACATTATGCTCCGCCGTTTCATGCACTTGTCGCGCTACGTTCGCCGACGCGACGGTTCGTTTTCGCTCGAGAGTGTGCGAGGGGGTTGCGATCATCGTCAAAATCTGGAAAAATCATCGAACGAATGCTTGCTTCGCTGAGATTTGTTAAGTTTTCGTATAATTATTACGAAAAGCGTAAAAGTTGTTACTTTGAGTCTATAATTATGCGACAGCACTGTGTTAGGGTAAATTCTCCCTAATTTTCCTTCAGTTTCTAGGCAAAATGGATAATTCGGGAATAGGAGATGCGATTATTCGAGCCTCGCGGCACATTTTTATATTTGCCGATTGTCAACGATTATAAAAACGAGGTGCAAGGCTCGAATAAATCGTATCTCCTCTTCCAAAACTGTACATTTTTGTTTAGAAGCTAAAGAAAAATTGGGGAGAATTTACTGTATACTCATTTCACGTTGTATCGTTTATTGCTTGCAATTTTGTCCAACTGTACATTACACTGACTAAAGTAAAGAATTTGTTCAAAACTATTAAAAAATAAATGTTTCCTGCACGTTCTATTGTTCTAAATTGACAAAGATGTTCCGAGCTCGCACAAACGTCGCACAATCCTAGTCTCGTTAGCATATCTGAACTGCACAATCCAAAAAATAATGTTCGATTTAAGGTTCCGCGGTTGTTAAGAGTTAGCTCAATCTGCATTAATTAGGCAGATCCATTAATCGGAGGATTTCCTTTAAAAATCGGACGGTTCCCGGTATGCCAAGCAGCCCGAATCTCCGCCATAGATCTCCTGTCTTCATTTTTGCCTCGTTACTTCGTCTAGATTCCCATTTGCACTTATTCTCATGGAAGATGGAAACGGTTCAAGGGGACAGGCGAAATTACGCTGGCGGAATCGAGGAACGTGGAATTCCGGATTCCACGGATTCCGAAAGTCGCGATTCCCCGCGGCTGTCTCGCGCGGAATTCTTCGCGCTTTCTTCTAACGCTGAGACGTTGCGTTGCGTTGGTTTTATATGGGGCGTGCCCGAAAATCGTGATACGTGTCGAGGAAAAGTGGTTCGATGTGCAACCGTGAAACGTAGAATGGAAATTCGTTGCGCGAAACTTCGTTTTCGAGAGAATCGACTTCGTAGTTCCATCGGATCAGAGTTGTGCAGAATTGCAATCGAATTACTGAAGAGATTTTTAATTATGAATTCGAATTAATAATTCGTAATTCAAATCTCCGTCCAATTCAATTACGATGTAATTCGTAGTACAATTACAAAATGCTGAGTAATTAAGTTACATCAACTACAAATCACAATGTAATCGAAGTAACATTACAAATTACGATGTAGACGCATTAAAATTACGAATTAAAAAATGATAAATCGATAGATAATAATGGAGAAGATTTGCAAGAGTACTGTTGTCTTTGCAGCATTGTTGTCAACGTTTCTCTCTTACCAATACGAGAGAAACACATAGTTTCGAGAAATTATCAATATTTTCTTCTCGTTATTTCTGGACTTTCCGTGTACGGAAATAAATAACAAAATAAATAAATGAATAAATAAGTATTTCCATCCATATTTCAAGAACGAAGACGAATCAACCTACATATAATATTTTATCC